TGAAGTGCTACAACTGTAGCAAGAAAGGCCACTTTGCTCGCGATTGTCGTGAGCCAAAGAAGGTTAACTCATCTTGTATTATTGAGAACTTTGTTTATGTATCAAGTTCTATATTTCTAACTGAATCAAATCCTTTGTGGACTGTAGATTCGGGAGCAACAGACCATGTAGCGAAGGATAGAGAAGCCTTCGTAGAATTCCGACGAGTTCCAACGGGAACTAAATGGATTTATGTAGGGAACAACTCCAGAGCTGAGGTTAAAGAAATTGGCACCTGCCAGTTAATTATGCGTGGTGGACGCACTTTGTTCCTACATGATGTATTATATGCTCCGGAAATTCGTCGGAACTTAGTGTCTGTTTTAGTGTTGATTCGACTTGATTTTAATTTGAACTTCCATAACAATGGTGTAGACTTGTATTTAGGTACGAGTTATTATGGTTGTGGTTATTTTCTAGATGGTTTTATTGTACTGGATGTTGATTCTGTAAATGTCAATGTTTGTTATTCCCACTTCACGTCTTCTACTTCGTGTGATAATGATGTGAACGTATGGCATGCTAGGCTTGGCCATATAGGCCAACAACGAATGAATAGATTAGCCAAAGAAGGCTTAATGGGCAATATTGAAAAAGTCGACTTGCCCACTTGTGAACACTGCATAGCTGGGAAAACAACAAGGAAACCCTTTGGAAAAGGAACAAGAGCTGAATTTCCTTTGCAGTTAATCCATTCTGACATTTGTGGTCCAATGAATGTGAGGGCTAGACATGGGGCTGTTTATTTTATCACATTTATTGATGATTATACTCGATTCGGATATGTCTATTTGATTTCTCATAAATCTGAAGCTTTTAGTTGCTTCAAGATATTTATGAACTTGGTGGAAAATCAATTAGATAAGAAAATAAAAGCATTGAGATCCGATTGAGGTCGAGAATATCTATCTGATGAGTTCAGAAATTTGTGTGATGAAAAAGGGAATAGAAAGACAGTTGTCTATTCCCCATACTCCTCAACAAAATGGTGTTGCGGAAAGGAGAAACAAAACCCTACTAGAAATGGTTAGGTCCATGATGGCGCAGGCTAACTTACCAATCACCTTTTGGGGTGACGCTTTATTAACTGCTGCCTACATACTTAACCGTGTCCCTTCTAAATCAGTTATTTCCACTCCGTATGAGTTATGGACAAGTAGAAAACCCGATTTGAGTTTTCTGAAACCTTGGGGCTGTGCCGCTTATACACATGAATCTTCTCATAAGTATGGGAAATTAGGTCCTAGAGGTAAGAAGAGTATCTTCATAAGGTATTCGGAAACCTCAAAAGGATATGTATTTATAGGTGAGCAAGAAAGTGGGAGTATAACTGAATTTGAATCACGAGATGTCACATTCTTAGAGAATGAGTTTCCTAAGAAGGGCGAAATAGGTGAGAACTACTCACTATTTGAAACCTTGGATCCTGATAGTGAAATCGATAAAGTTCGTCCAAGTGGAAGCAATGTGAGAAGTGAGGAATTGAATTCGACTCAATCTCAATTGCAACCTTTTGATGAGACGATTCCGTCATTATCTAATCCAAGTGGGAGCATAATGGAGAATGATATATCACGTGTACAATCTCCCATACGGCGAACAAGTCGCAAAAGTATTCCTCAACGACGTTTTGACATTTAAGGGGAAACTTTCATGATCGCTCCACAAAATGAAGACGAGCCAAGAAATGTAAATGAGGCTCTAAATTGCCCTAACAAAGAAAAATGGATGATTGCAATGAAAGAAGAAATGGAGTCAATGAAGTCAAAGCATGTTTGGAAACTGGTTGATCTTCCAAAAGGACGCAAAGCTATTGGGAATAAATGGGTTCTCAAAATAAAACGCAAATCCGATGGCTCAATAGAAAGATATAAGGCTTGCCTAGTGGCGAAATGGTATAATCAACAGGAAGGAATTGATTATGAAGAAACTTTCTCTCCTGTAGTGAGATTTACCTCAATTCGCTTTATTCTGGCAATAGTGATAAGCATGGATCTTGAATTACATCAAATGGATGTAAAGACTGATTTTCTAAATGGAGAATTAGAAAAAGAAATTTACATGGAGCAGCCAGTAGGCTTCATTGTGAAAGGCCAAGAACAAAAAGTATGTCGACTTCTAAGATCGATATATGGCCTTAAGCAGTCTTCGAGACAATGGTATATACGTTTTCATAATGCCATAGTAGCGTTTGATTTTACAATGATTGATGAAGATCATTGCATGTATATCAAAAGATCCAAAGATCAATTTGTGATTTTATCATTATATGTTGATGATATACTGATTGCCGGAAGCAATATGGAGTTGGTTAATACTATTAAGAGTTGGTTATCGTCCAATTTTGAGATGAAAGATATGGGTGAGGCTGCATATATTCTTGGAGTTAAGATTTCAAGAGATCATTCCAAGAGATTATTGTCTCTTTCGCAACAGACTTATATAAATAAAGTTCTTGAACGATTTTGTATGCAAGACTGTAAACCCATGTATACTCCTATTGCAAAAGGTGAAGGATTGAGCCATAGGTTGTGTCCTAAGACTCCGCAAGAGAAGGAACAAATGAAACGTGTTCCTTATGCTAGTGCTATTGGAAGTTTAATGTACGCTATGATGTGTACAAGACCTGACATATGTTTTGCAGTTGGGATGGTAAGTAGGTACCAATCCAATCCAGGTCAAGCACATTGGAAAGCCGTAAAAAGAATCATGAGGTATCTAAAGGGTACTGCTAATTATTCACTGAGTTATCAAGGCAAGGATCTGCGACTTGAAGGCTACTCAGATGCTGATTGGGGAGGAGATTTAGATGAAAGGAAATCTACCTCTTGTTTTGTTTACTTACTGAATAATGGCGCCATATCTTGGAGCAGTAAGAAACAAACATGTATAGCATTGTCCACGATGGAAGCTAAGTTCGTGGCGTTGTCAGGAGCAGTACAAGAAGGTGTTTGGCTTAAGAGATTTTTGGATCATTTAGGTGTTGCTAAGAATGCTGAAAACTCATTGTTAGTCAATAGTGATAGTCAAGCAGCAATAGCATACACCAAAGATCCGAAATATCATGGCAAGACCAAACATATAGATACCAAGTATAACTTTGTCAAGGATATGGTAGCACGAAAGGATGTGAACTTGCAGTACATATCTACGCATAGAATGATAGCAGATCCTATGACGAAGTCAATTCCTAGAGATGTTTTCAATGGTCATGTAAAATCTCTAGGACTGCGTAGATGCTGATGTACTGAATATTGTAATTTCCCTGAATGTTCACATTTAAATGAAATTGTTATATCATTATTAATGCCTATGAATTTATTTAATATTTATGCATCTTAATGCTTAGTGCATTATATCGAGAAAGTATGTCTGACAGATGAGATTAGCCCACTTACACGGGTAATCGCCTCTATTTACTGTGCGATAAATAGAGATGAGACAATTTTTAGGCTTATTATCTAGGTGATAATCGAGAGCTCAAGCTTAAAATAAAAATGTTGCCTTAGCTAAGTGCCAAGATGAGGACATAACATTTACTATGTCCGAAAGTAAAATAACCCACATATTTTACTTTATCTGTCTTTGATGCCAGATGTGAGTTCTAATGGATTCTTTAGAGGAGTAGATACGTGAACTCAAGTTTAGACATTAGGTATGTCTGAACTATCATCTGTACGGTATTGAATGTAAAGACATACGCTCCACAGGAAAGGCGTTAATACCGTAATACGTATTTCATACTACGTATGCATAAGACGACCGATAAGAGTGGCAAAAGTTTTTGATCTCAACTTTATGCCGTGTGAGACTCTTGAGAATATGAGTTCCTCATTTAGTGCCCTCACGACTCTAACTTATTCTCAAAGTTTCTATTCAGTGTTCGCTATCTTAGGATGTTGCCAATGGTCATGAATGATTCGATCTAATGGGGCATTTCTAGAAAAGCGAGCTGAACTGAAATAGAGAGATTGAAGCAAAGAGGAAGATCAATTTATTATGATGTCACATTCTATGTTTGTATTCACAGGTCGACCAATTATGATTTTAAGTAAATCATATTTGTGAATACAATATACGAGATACTAAAAGAGATCAAAGGGGATATAAATGTGATGATTGATCTAGGGATCGCATATTATATCTACTCGGAAAACGTTGTACCCAATTTTGGTCATTATGTATTCCTAACGGATGCATCGCAACGAGCTCTCGAAGTATCTTTGGTCGCACGGATTATTTGCTAGTATGAATATTGCAAAGAAGAGAGAGTTAATGTTTAGCCCACCATGTGCGAGTGAGAGATGATGAATTTTCTTTGTGAAGATGGGCCGCCCATGATGGGCTAACCCAGCCCATGAAAGCCCATGATTGGCTAACCCAGCCCATGAAAGAAAGTAACTGCACTTGGCAGTTATTGTCTAGAAACAAAAGTGGGAACACACGTAAGAGTGTGTGGTGTGGCATTTTCATCATAAAAAAAAACTCATTCTCACTAAAGGACAAAAGCAGAAGGGGCTTTGTTCAACAATTCAAGGATTGTTCTCTCTCTCAAGGCTGTGATAAGTGCATTTAATCTGTGGCAAAGAGGTATGTTCGTTTACGTGATATACTTCGAACGATCAGTGATTCAAATATAGAATGGGCACGTTTTTCTGCAATTTTTGTATTATGTTTAGGAATCTGTTTCCTTCACTTCCGAACCGAGATCCTCGGGGGGCAAGAGGGGTTCGAGCGGGATTGAACGGACTCACCTTCGAAGAACGAGAACAATGGAAAGAGCTTGGGGCCGCCGGGAACCGCGAGCGAAGGGACGCCAGACGGTGATGATGGCCAATCCAGCATGGCCGAGCGAAGGGAACGAGGGCGAGAGCGATGGTTCACAAGAATGCTTCCTCCCTCTCACCGGTCTCTGGTCTTTCCCTCTTTGTCTCCGGTCAACTCCCTCTCCGCTCTTTCTGACGCTCTCTGCAGGCGGTTGGAGGGGAATTCTCGCCATTTACATTGGGACACGCGTCCTTCCCCCGCTCATCGCTCACCCTCACGACCTTGCTGCTGCTCGAGCTTGTGAGAGAGAAAGTTGGGAGGGAAGAAGGCCGGGCCGAGAGAAAGAGAGAAATGGGCGGAGGAAAAGAGCGAGGGAAGAAGTGGGCCGCCAAAGAGGCTACACGCAGTATTACTATTCACGATCCATAATTGGCAAAGTGCGAGCCACAGCGACCTTTGCCTTATCGTGCCAAAGCATTCGAAACTTGAACGAACCAAGTCGACAGAAGTCGTAGGTTTCACTGCTCAGCAAAAAATATTCCCCACAAGAATGTGGTCCCCCAGATTCCTCAACCTGTCTTTGTATCAGCTGCAAAAGGTTCGCCCAGCATGCTCTTCTGTCGGTTGTCAAGTGATGGTCCTTTCAATCACCCTTGCAGCACTCTCCCACTGCACGGCATTGACAGGTCCATCATCGTTCCATTACACAAACATATCCAACAGAAGGTAAGTAGATAGAAGAAAACGTGCCGACAACCAAATAAAGGGATCGACTGTGCATCACCCTCCGGGCCTCACATCTCTTCTCACAGTTCACACATCATAACCTGCACATGCATCGCATTGACCATTGCAACTATGTCTGTGACCTGAGAGGATCAATGCCAGTGGTATTATAGAGACTTACAGTTCACATGTTCAATTAAAAACCTTTGACAGAGATTAGCTCAACAGACGGGTAGGGAATAACGAGCACATAGAAAGAAAAAAGGATCTAGCCAGTTTATTTCCTAACATGCTATGAGCAGTATCATGAAATAAATAACTAGGGTAAAAGAGGGCTGCTAACAAAGTGAGCACACCTCATTCGATAATGACCAGTAACTGAAGCATTGCCCATATGCAGGTGCTGGAGCACAGAAGCAGTAACCTGGAATCAGAAGATTTAAACATATAATTTAGAACGGTGAAGGACAACATAAACAAACAATGCAGAACTCTAAAAAAATGGAAAAGGTGAGTATTTTACACAAGAATATATCATCCTCAACAAAATAATAACAAATAAGCTACAGCACAGGCGTTCGCAAGCCACAGGATAACAAAATCAGAAAATATGAATCACCACTTAAGCCATGAGACATGCAAAGCAAAGTATTGCTAATATATAACCAACAAAAGACAAAGGCAGCGTGCAACAATCTACTGACATTCGTCGACATTCCTTCCATTAATAGTTAGTTTCGTCTCGACAGCACCATGTCCACCTGGTTATCCAATTAAAATGTTAATGGAGTGCATTAACAGTATTTTTAGCAGCAGAATGAAAATTGAGAGCAACAGCCTCTCGGACAATGCGAATACCTGCTAAAGTTTGATAACCTCTCAAACTACTTCCAACTGTAATTTATTTCATAACTCACACCATGATGGTGAGGGAGTTTTCACCACCACTAATATGTCCTCTTCCTCAGTAAAAACATTACTGCTGTACAAAATATTCCATCAAAGTCCACACACACTTCCCCTTTTAAACTAAAATACTATAAGAATCTTCCTCAAGACACAGTCACCCCATTTTCCTCCTCGGATTGCATAAGACTTCTTGCCAAATGCGACTTGTGCTCCTGTTTATCTCTTCCCATCAAAACAACCAAAGCAATACACTTGAAGTGCCGCTGTTCGTCTCTGATCCAAACATTAAATTTTTCTTCCCAGAGATGTCATCAATCATATCAACCAGACATTTAGTCTCTCAAAAATTGCATTGCATAACATTAGCTATGTAAAAAGATCAAGAAGCAAAACAGCTTCCGATATAGTAAAAAAAAAAAAGGGAAATCCTTCGGTCCAGCATATGGGCAACTTGATGGGGCAAACAAAAGTCGGTTTGCTAGCAGCTAACCCTTTTTTCCGACTAGAACCAAGTAATCTGGGAATGAAAAATGCTACAACTTTTTACCTAAAAAAACAACAAACTCTACCAGTTATTCTTGTTTGGGTTAACATCAGATTTAGTTATATCTTCCACGTATCCATGTGTGAGAGTAACCACAACCAAGGAAAACAAATGCAGAAATAACACGGTAGTGGACAATATCTTAAACGCACAGTACTTATTTGATCATGAAATGATCCTGTCGCATCAAAGTTGAATATCATTCAGTTAGAAGGCACAAGCAATGAATACCTGGCTGCTGCTTCTCAGCAACGGAATGAGATGAATAGAGCTCTTAAATTTGAAAATTTCTTTGAAAGGAGAAATCAAGGGCACAAACTTCACCAGCTAAAACCGTTCATTCAATCTATTCAACTGCCCAAATTGATGGGGACAGTCATACTCCTAAATCGCAACAACTTCATACTAGAAGCACAAGAAACTTTTCTTATCTTTTGTGAGAGGCACAGAGAGATAGCTGCTATCTCTAGATGTTACAAGTCTGGTATCATACTAAAGGAGGTTAACATATGACCCAGAATATTTTACATAGATAAAATTTCTGCCGTAAGTCAGCCTTCAGACATACCAAGACCAACAACCCAAATTGGAGAAAGTAATCTCCCTCAGTTGAAAGCCAGAATTAGTACTGGCCAACTTCTCAAGCCTCGAAACAGATGAATATTCTACAGCCCAAACTAGGCCACAAACAAAAGCAAGCTACAGGAATCGATAAGGGAAATCAACCGAGACTCTGAGCACAAAGAAGAGTTGATTGTGATAAAAGGTCCCACAAATCATGGAAATGGGTCACAAAAAACATGGTGGCCTACATAGTGAGCTTAAACCACTTCACTCCATTTATATGTCATGGAAAAGCTGAAGATGGAATACGGAATTCAGAAACTTCTTAGGTGATATACAGACTTCACATGTCATTCTCAACCTATATTCTATCACCTGTCTTACATAGCCAAATTAGTCAAATATGAGGTTGACACCCTGTTAAAATTAGTAGAGGCTGACGACTACGATGTGGTTTTTGCAGGGTCGATGACTAAGATATGTTTTTGGCAAGGTGATGACTGAGATCACTCATCCAATCCTATTAATCTAAAGAATACCACAAACCTTGAACGTCTAATTTGCTGAGCCAAAGGCTGCACTCAAAATGATGTATCAGATCACACATAGACGGTGACATTCTCAAGGAATACTCACTTCATAGAGTCCTTATGATCTTAGAATTATTGAAGTCGGACATATCCGTGACATATACCTCTAAAAACCTACCACCAGGGTTGGGATGTACCAATCTAAGGAACTTGACCAAAAGCTAGCATGTCATATTAAATAATGGAAGGTCCAATAACACAGTTATCAGTTAAGCAATTGTTAGCGATGAACTTTACACCAAGATCGTTAAAGAATTTAAGAGAAGAGCCAGACCACCGCATCAAAAGCGACAAAATTATATAGAAGACCATCATTAAATAACAAAACGTCCAGTACAACTTCAGGCAGCATATAATGGAGGCAAACCCCCCAAGAGTACAATGACAACTGGAAAGCCAGACCTAATAATCTATCTGGTGAGTTGCAGCCTAAGGGAGCAGTTATAACTCAGCTTACATCGATATGCAAATCTAGTCTATCTGTGTCCAGGAGGAGCATATGCACCCCAAGCAGCAGGCATGTGTCCAAATTGGGTGTAGCCTTCCAGACCAGCAGGAACCTGGAATTCGAAGATAAAGCATGTTACAAGTGAAAATACTTAACCAGCATATAAACATACCTTATCAGATGCAGACATGACCAAAACAAATGTTAACAAAAAGACAATAGAAATATTTCTAACAAACACACATACAGGATTAAGGCCATAGCCAGCTGGATAAGGGTTTCCGGCATAACTAACTTCAGGATTGTTGTTAGCTGCGTTGTGGCCTGCACATACAGAGACAAAGAATTAAATGGTTGAACAACAGAGAAACAGGGACCATTTCTGGCGGAGCAATTAAATGTAAAAGACGGTAATAACTTCATTTTCACGTGTTGAAGATGCCACGTAATGACACTTGAAATTAACTCAGTAGACAATAATGTTCGTAGAACTATGTAACCTGATCATATTAGGCAATAAATATCCATAGCTTCTTCATCTACTTTACATGAGTATCAATTGAGGTGGCCAAAAGCAACCCATGTTTAAATATAGCACTAGTAATACAATAAATAGGATTTATTGTTTATATCTACCGTTAGCTGGCCAAAAGCAACTCATGTGGAGTCTCAAAGTAAAACCCCGATTAATATTACTATCAAGAAAAAGATCATGCTTGCAAATCAAAGAAACAAGACAAGGACCTTTAATAGATGGTTTGAAGAAAAAGCATTTCTTGCATTTTCTTCGCAGAAACTATTTATTAAATGGAGTGTATTCATTCCCTCTTTAACATCAAGCGCATGCATATATGGAGAAGATATCGATATGTATATAGGAAAAAAGCTTCCGTATGGCAAATGAGCATGAATAGTCATTAAAGGGGAGTCGACTTCAGGTTTGGCAAACAATTAAGAATATACACTCCACAATTTATAGATTTCTTTTCAGGGCTTCTATAGTACTTGATATGTAGGGATGGCAATGGGCAGGTAGAGTGCCTGACCCTCCCAGACCGTAATAGGGCTTAAACAAGTTGCTCTTTAGAGTTGTGGGACGAGATTGCGATAACACTTGCATAACCCTACACGGTTTGGGACAGGTTTGTGATTTGCCTTGCGGGTACTTCCCAATCCAAACCCAGGAGCCATTGTCAATTATGTTATTTTATATACCCAAAAATAGAATTAATTCATATGCATCTACATTTTTCTACAATATCCACAATTTTTCTTTTACTTTTCATAATTGTTGAAAATTTATAAAACTTCAACGGGTTGGTTGTATAATCAAGATTTCAAAATTCTGGATGTATTATTTATTAGTGTTAGATAATTTTTACCACCAAAACACGTAGAGATATCTGATTGTTACCCGATGATTGTGGGATGGGTTGGGGACTTTATTTCCAAAGTCCTATAAGGCTTGCAACGGGTTTGGAACATAAGGAGAAATTTCTTGGGACGGGTTTAGGACAAGATTAGCCGCCCCAAACCCATCCTGTTGCCATCCATTCGATATGACCCAATAAAGTCTTGATAAGCACTAATTCTTCCCTGTTTCAATAAATCTCTTTGTTGACTGAGAAATGCCTTGCATATATGCTCTTCAATCAATAACCGATATAAACCCCTTGACAAGAAGCCTTGTTGAAACATCTTTGAATGTTACCTTTTTCCTTTCTTTTTATTTAAATCCAGCTGTCAACAATGCTTCATAGGCATCACCAGAAACTGTAGATTTTGATCATTAACTAAAACCTAATTTGAAGAGTCATTGCAGCCACTTCCCATAATTCTCAGTTTCCTCCTTTGTCTAATAAATGGATTTATCTTCTTTTTCCTTTTAATTTTTAGGTTATCAGATTAAAACTTGAAGTGAAAGCGGGGTCATGTGGATTCTTCTTGACAATACCGTTCCTTTGGTTCTTCTAAGTGAAATGGAGTTCGGATATTTTTTCCCTTTTCCCTTCGTATAGATCATGTGGCACCGTTGCATTACTAAAATTTCCTTTCGTAGACTAAAAAGTTAAAGCAGGCGGGAAAATACATTTGTAAGAGGCATATCTATATCAAAGTTTTGGGGGGAACGAGGTACTCTATATGTCACCAAAGCTGCACATAATTAGGCAACATGGAGATCTCTTCCTCTAGCAGCTTTATTTACTAAGGAACTATTCAGCTACACCTCTTACAGAGTTCCTCTGCTCTTTCATGCAGTTATTGGCTGCCTGATCAGTGACATTGCTTTAAGGTTCAAAATTACCATAATTTCTAAGCAGGGCAACGTTTAGGAATTAATTCGAAACTCAAAACTGATAAAGAATTATTTATACTTAAGTAATTTGTATATAGATGGGCAAGATAGCATAACTTTATGCCAAGATTCTCCTAAAATAGAACAATTGCAACAAAATTTTCTTTCAAGTAAAGGTTGGACTTTGTCATGCGCAATGTCTATGCAAGTTGCATAAGGATTTAGCTCATGCAAATTTGACCAGTTACTTGGAGTTCCTTGATTGCAGTATACAATGTTCTTAACACATTTAATTAGCAAAGTTAATTTGCTGTTTTTGAAATTTAATTCATTCTGAGACACATGATCTACTTGGAGTTCTTGAATTTTTTTTTTTTTGGGTCTTTTTGGGGATGAGAGGGGGGAAAAGATCAGACCCAAGACCTCTTGGATCTCGGTAAAAACCAGAACGACAGATTTCAGCAAAAGTACTTATTCCTCCCTTCCAAAATTTTTCCTATACTAATAGCTGAACTTGAAACTGCGCACCTTTGAATATATATTCCCAGCAAAATTAATGGAAAACTAATCTATGCAACTTAGGGAAGCACACTAGGTTAGTTATTCAACAGGATCATCTTTGTCTTCATTATATGTCCATCACCAATTTCAGTAAAATCCAATCAGTTATTCTTCTGGGAAAGGAAAATGAATGAAAGATGCTATAAGCCCAATTACTTCTCCAGCACCCATTTTTACAAGAAATTCTCATATTCTAGGACAAAAAAAACCTCTTGTTTTACCGGTTCATCCATTCAATAGAAAATCTTGGCAATAACTTAATCAGTTGAAGACGATGAAAGCTTATTCCTTCACATCCATGATTCCAACACCGGAATGCCTACTTGAAGCCAGTCGACCAAGTTCGATTCAACATAACTTGCTAATTATTGAAATATGAAACTGCTAGAAACCAAAACAGAGTATGAAAAAAATCACAAAGAAAAGTACCTGGATTGCCAACAGCAGCAGCAGCACGAGCTCTCTTCTCTGCATTAGCAATCTCCGCTCGAAGCTTCTCCAACTCACGGGCCATGGAAATCAAATTCTGCTCCATCACCTGACCATGCTCATAATTGTCGGCACTACCTTTCTTTTCATACTCAATAGCAGCTCTGGACACCAAAAAAACATGTACAAAATCAAACTTCCACGCTGGAAAGCAGCCCTTCAAGAGGAGAATAGACGCATGACCATAAATCCATACCTAGCACGCTGTACCTCCTGCTTCATGGTCTCAATCTCTGCCCGCAATGCTGGCACCTGCTGTAGGTCGGCCGTCATCCTAGCCAAATCTTGAGTCATTGCTTGCACCTGCCCACTAAGCTCTTGTCTAACACCCGTAAGCTCCTTAATATCTGCATTGACCTGAACAAGCTCACCCCTCATAGCCTCCACAGCACGCAGATCCACTTCTAGCCTCACTGATTTATCATACAACTCCCTCATCCGAACATCCTTTTCTGCTCGTAAGGAATCCGAGATCTGCACCATCTTTTGTAACTCATACTGGGCGGCTTCCAGTTCCTGCTTAAGCGCAACATGCGTCGCGGCCAACCTCTGATTATCAACCAAAAGACCTTGAATTTCTTCATGTTGGGCAGCAAGACGCTCCTCGATAATGGCAGGGTGAGGAGGCCGCCTTCCCAGGCCTATCCCAAGTTGGGATTCGCGCAATTCCTCCAGTAAAGCTGGATGCGGCATTGCACCTAGGCCTCTACCAAATGGAGGCTCCCGGATGGAAGGGGGAAGCCCCGCACGAGGAGCACCTTTCGGTGGAAGAGGTGGACCCCGATTTCTTCCCGACATTCTCCGTCTCTCTCTCTCTCTCTCTCTGCGTTTTCTGACAGCACAACAAATGCAATATCAAGAAGAGATGAATACGGCCTTCTAACCGAATCAACGGATATTTGCCAGCAAATTCAATCGCAGGAACGGAGAAAGCGAGAGCGGATGACATCGATATCAACATCGAGCATGCAGAAACCATCCCCATCTAGTCATCCCGAACATCAGATCACGTGAATTTCGATCGATGAAGCTTTGACCGAACGACAAACAACTACTCCAGGAGCCCAAAAAAAAAGAACAAACGCGACAAAAAAGGCGGGCACGGGAAAGATTGAGCAATGACACAAAGGCCAGTTAACAAGCAGGTGCGATTCGATTGAGAACAATCGGTTGCATAATCTACTGCTGCTTTCCCCAACCTGACCGAAACGCGACCGAGGATTCGATTCGACGGAAACCGACCGCTAACGAATACAACGGCGATTGTACCTTAAAAAGACCGTAGAAATAATCATAAGCGAGGGGAGATTAAGGACCTTGCTGGAGGTGTGGCAGCGATTGGAAGAGTCAGGAGGAGGATTCCCCGTCTGCTGGAGTTGATTCTACGAGCGAGACAGAGAGGGCGACTCCAGCTTTGTTTGTAGTAATAGGAGTCTGTAAAACCCTGCAAGGTTAGGTTAGTTTTCTTACTCCACGATTGTTTCGCAAAAATACGATGTTTTTGAAAAATATTTTTTAAAATGCCACTTGTCAGAAAAATGATCATATATTTTCGATATCCGGCTAAAATCTTGAAAATCTTATTTTAATCTTTTTCTCTTTTTCCTTCTTTCTCGGCCTCGATTGTAGTGATCGGCCACGGACGAGAGGGACAAGCTCACCCTAGGCCAGCGAGATCGAGCTCACCCAACAGAAACGTTCGGACCGGATTGGTTCAGTCCGATTTCCACTTCAATAAAATTGAAACCGGTGATTTTCGATTCGATTTCCGGTTCCAGGGTAGAACCCCTCACTCGCACCGCATGAACCAGAACAATTATTATTTTTTTATTTCTGAAAAATCTTAAAAGAAACTTTAACCCTCTTTACAATCACGCTCGCGCTTTTCCTCATTCCCTCTCGCTTTCTCTTTCCTCTTGGCTCTCACGCTTCCTTCACAATCAAAACCCTAATAGCTCTTTCCCCCTCACACCTCTCTCGCTCGATTGTCACTCACGACTCTCTCAGTTACTCTCTCGCTTGACTCTCGGATGGTGCCACCTTCTTTCGATTGAGTCGCGTCCCTCTCGCTCTTGCTCGACATTTCCCTATCGCCGTCTCATCTCGAGTCTCGACTCCCGCCTTGCTTTTTGTTTTGTTTTTTGCATCTCATCAAGATAATATCCAATGGTCTGTTTTTTTCCGTACAAAATACAAATTACGGGCTAGCAGTAATGCGAGGCTGTTTCCTTCCTACTTAGTTCAATTGTGGAGTAGTTTTCGGATCTCAAATACTTGGGACCTGCTGTTTGAATGAGAATTGCTTCAAACTCTGTTGCAGTGGATGATCGCTATTTATACATGATTCGTTTTGGTCTATGATGTTGCACATTAGTTTTTGTTTAGCAGAGATGTTATCTAGCTCATTATTGATGGTGGGAATGCCTAAAAATGGGACCGGTTTCGTTGGACCACTCAAGAACCGGACCGGTCAAACAAGTCCAGTCCGATTTCAAGACAAAGTGGTCTAATTCAAAGGTGGAACCGAACCACCCAGGAACCAATCACCCCCTAGAGCTCACCCGAGGCCGGCGAGCCTCGCCGACCTAGGGTGAGCTCGCCCCTTGCCTATAGCCAATCGCCGGCTAGAAGGAAAAAGAAAAAGAAAGAAAGGAAAAAAAAGAAAAAAAATTAAAAGTTCAAATTTTTTATTGAATAATTATTTCAAGCGGTACAAACGATCATTTTTAAAAGGGTTAATACCACAAAAAATCCTAAACTGGTACAGTTGTGACAATTTTACCTCAAACTATTTTTTTTACCATAAAAAACCCCAAACTGGTATACTTGTAACAAATTTACCCCGAACTATTTTTTTGACCACCAAAAATTCCGAACTGGTATACTTGTGACAATTTTACCACAACTAATTTTTTAATATTATTTTTTATTTTTTCGAATTATTTATTTATTTTTTTATTTTTTTCTTTTCTGTTCTTTTCTTTTTTTCCTTAATCTTCTTCATCTTCAACCGGCGACCGACCAGAGGCGGAAGCCGGCGAGGTCAGCCCCGCCGGCCACTGGCGAGGGCTCAGCCCTGCCGGCCGCTAGGGAGGTCGACCTCGCTAGCGCTGGGTGAGGCGACCGGCCAAAAATTGAAGATGAAGAAGATTAAGGAAAAAAAGAAAAGAACAGAAAAGAAAAAATAAAAAAGTAATAAAAAAATTCGAAAAAATAAAAAATAATATTAAAAAATTAGTTGGGGTAAAATTGTCACAAGTATACCAATTCGGGATTTTTGGTGGTCAAAAAAATAGTTCGGGGTAAATTTGTCACAAGTGTACCAGGTTGGAGTTTTTTGTGGTCAAAAAAATAGTTTGGGGTAAAATTGTCACAACTGTACCAATTTAGGATTTTTCGTGGTATTAACCCTTTTTAAAAAGAAATTTTTTGAATCATTCATTTTCCACGAAACAGATGGAACCTAAATAAACGAATATAAAATTTATTTTTTTTAACTAGGCCTAACCTTTTGGGTCGGGCCATAGAGAATCCAACTGTCCGAGCCCCAAGGATAAGGCCATAATAATCTGAGGATGGGGCACATCGTTTGATAAGTTCTTCTTGTTTCTTCTTTCTATCAGCAACATATCGGATATAAACACATTACTGGGAAGCGATAAAGAAGAGGACGCGAAGCCAATATGGTTCATTTGCTATGGCTTCGAGGCTTTTATTGTCAGGTATCCCAGAAGTGAGTTCTTTTTTCGTTTCCACATGCTTGTTGGCGTTCCTTTTCCGAATCTGAATAAGCCAATCGTATGCCGAGTCCGTATGCAAGAGCCAACTGCAATGAAGTACACTTCAATGTCCATCCAATTCAGATAGTTTCACTTGTTTTGCTGCTGATGCCACCAGAAAGTTCAAGATTTTGCCGGAACAAATGGTGAACCACGCGGATGCAAAAGACGGGGAATCTAATTTCTGAGCCTTGTATATTACCGAAAGGGAAGCTAAATTCTTGGAAATGGCAGACTCTAATCTTAGCTTAGACATACTTACCAAAAAAAAAAATTCTTAGCTTAGACATACCTTTTGAACGTTGTCAATGAAGTATCATTGCAAACAGGTTAAAAAATATTGCTGTGAAGTGTAGCTGATCTCCAGCCAACATGCGTATTTCACTGCCGGCAAATGAAATCCATCTCCCTTTTACTTCGCATGTTTCTTGAGATTCATGGTTTCATCGAATAATAAACCACAACGACGAAGATGGCAACACTCCTTATCCCACTAAGCGTGGTCGGCTAAAATTAGATAATAGAAGTGAAGCATCACGACTAAAACAGAACTCCCAAAGAAGGGTTGTATAGATTAATCCCCTGCCCTCCAGATCAGATTAAACTTAGCAACATGCTACTGATGGTTTTCCTCATAGAGAGCTTCTGTAAGAACATATGCAGCTGATCAACCCAGACTCATTTCACCCGCGTCAGACAAGATCCAAAAGAACTATGTGGAAGATGCAACAAACGAGAATGGTTGGCACTCAGTCAGCACTTTAAAGAATTTCGAAATGACTTTCTTTCATAGAATTCCCATTTTCAACTAGAGTTCTACTGGGCTCAAGGCATCACGCCCGCTAATGCAAAAAGAGACAAGTAAAAGTGTACTTTGGGGGGATTCGGGCTCTTACAAAAAACTGCAAATGCTTTTTATTTCTTCGAACTGTTGTGATTTACAGAAGAATATGATGCACACCGTGACTGGTTACACAGTAGACAATGTTGAATCCAATCACGAAACAGTTCTTACTCATCGATATAAATGAAGTTTAGAAAGAATTCCAATTTCTTGTTCACCTTCACTTGCCACTATGTTGTCTCTGCATATGATTCTATCAATGGTTCTCTTGAGCTTTCACTACCAGCGCGTTTGTAGTAACAATACAACACCAATTGGGTGATCCCCAAAATCGTTCCAATACCATTTGGGACCTGAAATGAGGGAGAAAAAGATAAGATGCCACATGCATTAAACACGTGCAGAATAAATTGCAGTTTGGTTTCTAGAGTTCAAGAAAGAACTTACATAAATGAAGATGTCATCGTTGAAAATCCCATATAGGGAAAACGACGCGCTCATGAGGAACATGGAAAGAGAGAGATAAAACGGCATGAATTCAACACTCTTTGTCTGGATCACCAAATTCTGAATATAGAAAATTTAGATACCCGTCATCTCAACACTTCGTGCCTCAGGTACTTGATGATAAGGAAGGGTGGTGAACTTGTCACCGTTTCTTACAATTATAAGCAATGGGGAAGCAAGCATAGAAATAAGGGAGACGCCACTTATAATCCCGACAATGTCCCTCCGCAGGTCAGCGTCCAGTATATGTAAGCTCCCAATTACTACAATTGCAAAAATACCAAGAACCGACGAGAGCAATCCCAACATCATCACCTGCTTAAAAAGTATTCAAACATAACACGAGTGGCAGCTTAAATCAAAAGTTCTGACTGCTAAAATCTGCTGCCAAAGTATCTGCATCAGAAAAAGTCAGATGTGAAGGGGGCCAGCAACCTTTTTCTGGTTTTCTGCATATGTTATATAGAGAACTATGTATGCCAACTGAAAAAGTGCACCAGTGGAGTTCACTGTCATGACCATCGTGTTGTGACTCGATATGAGCGGCGTGCCATACCACGTGCAAAGCAAGCAGTTCAAGAGAGCGTATATATAAGGCAACCCAGAGAACTGCTCCGTTGACCGGTTTCTGATGATTCTTCTAAATGTCGGTCTGGTAATTTCATCAAATTCAGTAAGAAATATCGTAATACAATGTAAATTGAAATGAAGCACACGGAATTGCAACTTACATAGGTGATACAAATAGGCCAATTGCGAAGATGTTACCTGCAACAGACAATATCAGGGTCAAACATCAAAATCAAGTCTTTCATCCATGACACAGTTAATTTTCAGTGAAGAGATCCCAACGACGAAGGACAAGACCTTTGCAAATTTGCCTATACTAACAGCAATGGCACGCCTGATTCTGCACTTCCCTATATCTCACGAGGTCTGGATTGCAAATAGGCCATCAAACCGGGTTTCGGTAAATTTCCACAGAGCTACTACAATCATTCCCAAAACTCCGCTAGCGATAGCACAAAAACTTCACTAACTTATGATGAATTATGCCTCAAATTTAAGTCCTCTATATCTCTCAGTCTCAGGGAATCGCAAGGCTCACAGCACATGACATTGAAAGATATTACTGAGGCATAATCTCCCATTTCAAGTTCACGTCTGTAGTAGGAAAGCAACATCCTGTTTTGACAAATTTCTCTACAGTGAAACTAATGTTTGCTTCTGGATTGGAACGAAGCAACTTCTGGGCTCGGTTGAGATTCTCGTTCTTTCAAATTCAACTCCGAATTTTTCTTTCCTTTTCTACTTTGAAAAAGCTAAAACTCAAGCGTCTTTGGTGAATCAGCACGCATTTACTTCCAGCCCAATTCACAAAGCACTTTCTAGATTACACATACCTCAGGGGAATCCTTTCCCATTCTTTTACATGGAAAGCAATGAGTATCTTCTTCTGATTGATTGTGGAACTATTCAGCTGAATGGCATTAGATAGCTTTCAAATGAAACGAGGTCAAACTGAAAGCATAATTCCGGAGTGCTACTGTGCTAGAATTCCCAAACCCTCAGTTCAATTTCGTGCTTCATCAAAAGACCAATTTCCGAGGCCGAAAACCAGCATTGTAAGACCCCTCTTCTGATGAATTCGAAACGTTCTTTGTACGGCAAAGTTCACATACCAAGAAGATACAATCGGTTCTAAAAAATAATGGGGTGGAAAAAAACAGGACTCGTTCAATGGAAAATCTTTCAATTGACCCTGTGAGGTCATTCATTGCCCAGAATTAGAAAGCAAGGACCCAAGGCAACGAGATATTCTGGATGTGTTCTTCTAAAGCATCAAAATGATGATATGGAACAACCCAAAATGAGAGAGAGAGAGAGAGAGAGAGAGAGAGAGAGAACCTGCTGCTCCAGCTGCATCTGTGCAAATGGTGGCGACTGAAACCGAAAGAGAATACAAATCAATCATCAAGCCCTCAATTCAACTCTCACTCTCAATCACCCACCATATCAGCTCACCACTCCTTTAAAAGGCCACAATTCTCGTCTCCTTCCCTTTTCTTCCTCTGCTCACACATGCCCCTCTCTCTCTCTCTCTCTCTCTCTCTCTCTCTCTCTCTCTCTCTCTCTCTCACTGAATCCTCCTGTAGCTGTCAGGATTATTTTTCACGTTTTCAGAAAGTGAGAGAAAGCAGCACAAATGCAACAGGAAAAAGGGCTATTCATTGACCACTTGGCATTACAAAGACGTCCTCAATCCCCAGGAGATTACCCACTTTATATAATAGAGGCACATGGCTTAGCGTCAATAGAACTGTTGCACCCGGTATTCATCATCAGCAATTCAACATGCCGCAGGCACCATAAGAAGATTCGTTAACATCTCCTGCAAATGAAGGGTCGGCATCGTCTTCCGGACACAGGACACGGGTGGGTGACACGGCAAGAGGCGGCACAGATTTTTCCTTGATCTTGGCCACTCGCTCATTGACCCCTCGAGTCTTTCTTCGTTTTTCAATCTCAGCGCTTCGATTCTTTCGGTCAGACTCGGCCCTCGAATCGTGGGTTTCGGCCTCTCGGAGTCGGAGTGTATAATTAATGATTGACATGGCAGTACGCAAGGCAATTGTTGAGAATCACGAGTGCCGTCTTAATCCAGACGAGGGGGAAAGGAAAAGAAGAGCTCGTACATCTCATGTCGTGCCAGTAGAAGAAAAACAAGAACCAATGAGAGTGAGGGAATAAGCGCTTTAGGTCAACACGCATCTAATTAAGGGCGAAGATGTACTCCAGGTCGGACTCCAACTTACGCCTTATCGATAATGTTGATTCAAAGAAGCGGCACGATAGTTCAGACTATTGACATTACTGAATACGCAGATTCTTCTTTACCATTTAACAGGGACATATGTACCTTGAATCGATTAAGCGCACGACATACTTTATGTTCCTTATAATGTACGTCACCTGATTATAGCTCGCATTTTCTCTTGCATAATCGAGACGATAGCATTTGCTCAGCCTTAGTCCCAAGCAAAACTTGATCGATCGAAGTCGTAATGGAATTTCACTCGAATGTGCATCGCAATTTAACACAGCCGCGACGACTTCCTCCTATGCAAAGACTGTGGTCAAGTCTCATCTCATTCCTTTGAAAAGAGGCTAAATATGGGGTTGCTTGCTCCCGTTAATTAAGTGGATTGGTCGGCAATTCACGTTGCCATTAGAAGAAATTAAGACAGTCGAACGTTCGAAGTGTTCTAAACCAAAGAAAGTGTCATACAAAAGGCGCAACAAACCCCCGTGTATCCTTCACCAGAGCAAAATCACTTGCTGCGAGTGCACGCCACTGTGTGAGGCGAAGGGGACAAAAGCTGCGTGCAAAAGTTGATATCGTGCGGTCGCTTGCACAGTTGCACATGGTCCGCAGGGCAAACGACGCCATTTCTTTTGGTCGGAAAATGACACCTTAAGATCCGTATAAGAAAGGCTGAGGTGTAGTAGCTAAAGCGACATTACGTTTGTGTCGAATCTCCCGTGCCTCGGGCAAAATCGATGCAAATTTGCGATGCTCGAGTCCAATCGAGAATCATCCGATCAATCCCGAACTTATGGCACGGATATCAATTCATTTTAAAACTTTTTAATTTTACTAACTTGATCCTAAACATTTGCTCGAAACTGTAATGTAATCCTCTCAAACCAATTTATGCCGAAAATCGCTCACGTGACGATGTGCCACGTGAGACGGCCGGCGATGACCGGATCAATACGTCGATGATTTCCAACGATAATGGGCTGGAAGAACTATATTGGAATTTTGAGCAAAGACTGGAATAAATTGAGAAAATTTAAAGTTTATGATTGAATTAGCGTCCATACGACAAGTTCAAGACTAATCGGACAATTTTTTCCAAATTTAATGGTCCATGTTGACAAGCTTTAAATTTTGTTTTTTTTTTGTAGAAATAAAATTGTATTCATTGCTCAAAAAGATACATTAAAAGTACATAGACTTCCACAGCAAAACAAATTGAAGCAGAGCAAGGCCCAAAATACTACAAAACAAAGGCAAATCCTAAAAATAAGGAGCACCACCAGAGCTTTAGCAGGGTTAAGCACACACTCCTTCCACAAGAACGAATATGTCAAGCAAAACGGCAACCGATCACTGGATCTTGTATGATTGTCAGTAATGAGTATACGCTGGAAATTCCTTCTCCGGTCATTGCCAGTTGATGATACATGTCTAGGTTCGACTTCCTCCAACAAACACAGATTTAACATTTGAGAAAGCAAGTCTTCCAAATTTAGCGAAATGTTGGACCTCCTGATTACTATTAAAACTAGAGGCAGATGACCGGTACACGGACAGAGCATATGGATATCGAATTCCCAAAAATATTATTAAACTTGCATATCTAAATCAAGAGATAATAGGTAGATCGGGAGAGTTCAAACTCTTAGATCTAGAGTTAGATCGGGAGAAGAGAGTTTCCAGATTTAAATTGAAAGAGAAGAAAAAACAAGAAAAAGAACAAGAAAATTCAAACAAAATCAATAAGTGGGGGAGGTGAGGGATGGTGAGGCTAGCTCAATCTCTCTCTACGGAATGGCTGACAAGGCACGTCGACAACTTTCCCGTTCACAAAGTCACGGGCAAATAGAATTTGCCTAAAATTTTGGAGTTCTTTGATTTGAACGTGCGTTCGCAGTATCCCCAACAAGATTCTCTCCGCAATTCAAGTGGGATCGATTGACCACACTTTCCAATTTCTCCTTTTTTAATCTTATGCACCTATAAGTCTTCACGTGCAATGCATTATATATTTGATTTCTATTGTCGATCTTGACCCACTATATCTTCGAAACTATAAGCTTGACCCCATGAAAATATGATAAGACCAAATGACATAAAAAAAAACCAAAATCGTAAAATTTACATTCAAATTTCTTATTAAAAGAATAAAGAGAAAAAAAATATATACATTACAAGTCCCAAAATTTTATGGATGGAATGCTATCGAGTAAATTTCCCTTCCAAATTTCGACCAAAAAAAAAAATTTCCCTTCCAAATGATGCATCCAACTATTAAAATATTTCTGTAACATTGCAATCGAGCCTTTTTTTTTTTTTCATAACTTGTCCATTTTCGTGAAAAAATATAGTGAAAAAGGGGAAAAAAAAAAGCCCAGAAACTCAGAGGACAGGCTTTCTATCTTCACAATTGAAGGAGCCTAGTGGGAAGAAAGGTCGGTGGTGATGTGAGTGGCTTGGCGCTGTAGAGATTTTGAAGGGCGGTTGGTTGTTTGGTGAATGCCAATTTGAGTAGAGTGAGGAGGACGAATGCGACCTGTTTTGCTGCTTCGAGAAAGAGGCTACGCGCGTCTTAGCGAAAATTACCCAAAGAAAAAAGAAGGTCATAGACCTATTTTACTCGTGTCAATTCGAACCTAAAATCTTTTAATTTGGCCAATTTAGTCATAAACTTTTTGACGATATGCTAATGTAGTCCATCCGGCCAATTCTGGCTAGAATCGTTGACGTGAACGTCGGCCGTCCTAAATGGCACGACCAACACTGATGTGGATAATTTTTTAATTTTTTTTCCAAAATTTTCGTTATTTTTCCTTTTCTTCTATTTTTTTTTCATTATGGCCAACAATGGTCGTCGAAGCTTGCTAGCCACTACGTGAGGGTCGTGAAGCCCTCGCCCACTGGCAAGGGTCATAGCCTCGCCCAGACCATCACGGCCGTGGGCAAGGCCACCTTGCCTAGTTTTGAGCCTTGCCTTGTCAACCGCGGAGGAGGCCGCCTTCACTCTTGCCAATGACCAACAAGGGCTTTGCGGCCCTAGCCCAATGGTTGACGAGCTCCGCCGACCCTTACCGACTATGGTGAAAAAAGGAAAGAAAAGAAGGAAAAGGGAAGAAAAGAAAAAAAAATATTTTAAAAATTGTCTATGTCAATGCCGGTGGTGCCACACAAAAGAGCCGATATCCATGTCAGAGATTTATGGTCAAAATTGACCAGGTAGACTACATTATTGTCAACAGGTTTAGGATTCAATTAAAAAAGTCAAAAAATTTAGGATTGAATTAATAAAAGTTCAATAAATTTAGGACCTTTTTTTGTTATAATTATCTCTGTATTTTATTAACGAACCAACTGTCCTGACCTCTGAATAATCGTTTTATCCACATGATTCATTTGTAGACCTGCCCTCCATTACCATGATCGAATTTTGGACATCTAGAACATTATCCCTATTGATTTTACAGCCTGGGAGTTCTCCTAACTCTAGAGAAATTTGCCATTTATGAAACAAAATCACCACCTACACTGCACGCTACATAAGCCTTCTTAACTAATTTCTCTTCATCTTCGTCACTCAAAGCTCGGATCTGCGCTCGTAGTTGCCTCATCCTTCGGTCTCGACTCACCGACCGGCACAGTGAATAGGTGTGGGAGTAGACCGAGTGAGAGAGCGCGAACGACCAAGGGAGTGGAGGACGAGCAATGGCAATGTTCGTTTGCCCGAACGAGCGGCCGACTGTGGTAGCGAGGGTCATGAAGCGGTGTCTCCGTGTTGCGGTCGGCGATGCTGTCGTTGGTGGTGGCAAGAGGCGGCGAGGTCACAAGAGTGAATAGTGAAGGACAAGGGGGAAGTCGCATGTCTCTCAGATCGCATTGCAAAATGGGCATGTGTAGTCCACCGGGACAAGTACGATATGGGCGTATTGTAAGTGGGAACGATACCCCGCGCCCGAGATATTCAACAAAAGAAAGCAAATTGATAGGCAGAGTGATAACTTGTTGGTACGATGGACATCGACTTATTGGATAATAGATGTTTCTTGCTTTTTATATTTACCTTTTCCAGTATAATCTATTAATAAACATTAATTTTGGGAAATTTGAATGGTCTAAATGTGCATTTTTTCCCTTTGCTTTAAATCAATTCACGAGACTTATAGAGTATGATGAGCTTTATTAAAAATATTTTTTTTAAAATAGTTTTGGATCTTCATGCATGACCCTAAATAATTTTTTTTAAATAGATAATGATGTTTTGTACTTTGGTGTGATTATTGGTGTTGCCTATCAAAGATAGGCCCGCCGGATATTTTTTAGGTTAACGATCTTTGTGAGTGGCGTAGCGATGGAACCTCATGAGCTTTATTATTCATTTTTTTAGATAAGTATACTAAAAATCATAAAATTTATCGTGAAAATATAATCGAATCCTAAAAATTTTAAATAGCATGATCAAGTCTTAAAATTTATCAAATATACGTATCGAGTACCTTAATTAACTTCGTCCGATTTGAGTAAGGCATTAATAGAACCACTGCATCAATCATTTTAGAAAAGTTGACATTTTTTTTAATGCATTTAAAGACTGATGGCTTTTATGTGGCTCCAATTGGGAAAAAGTTTGAAAATTTTAAAAAGAGAAAAGGCCAAAAAGGAAAAGGAAAAA